ATTAAAAAAATACTGATTTTATTTTTCTTATTCTTATTTAAAAATCTAGTACTTTTACTTAATAGTAAAATCTTCATTTTTTCAGGTACTTGTCACTCTACGAGGCAGGTATTACATTAAGTATGAAAAAAAAATTCCTTCCCTCCTCAAATCCCTAAACACAGAAAGAAAAGTTTTACAGATAAAAAAAGTCTTTTTTAGCTTTATTACTTAAGCACGTTATGCAGCTGGAAGGAAAAAAAACCCAAAAGCCTAATTGACTCTATTCTGCCAAGGCACACATCCCCAGATGAGATCACAATATGGTCATCTGGACAAACTTACTCTTTTAGCCGCCTGTTGTAGAGGAAGTTACTGGGCTTGACATCACGGTGAACAATACCGAAGTGATGAATGCGCCTCAACGCTTTAAACAGATTAAACATGTATTCCCTCACTTCTTCAAAGGAAAGAGAATTCAAAATGTCCTGAAAGATTATTTGGATACTGTAATTATGCAACTGCTTTTAATTAAAAAGTTTTACTACTTACATAAAAAGTCTGGGACTCACCAAGAAGGATTCATGTTCCAGATATGGCATAACAATAACCACATGATCATTTTTCCTAAAGCAATATTTAACTCCCATAACGTTATCTTGTCCCCTAGAAAAAAAGTAATGTCACTGAATAAAGACCAGAAGATGGGTGTTTATTCTCCTTTATTTCTTAAAAACTTCAGTCAGGCTTTCTTTTATAATCTAATTTATATTTTGACAGCTGTCTTATCAGCAGTCAGTAGTCACGCTGTTGCCTCTCATTGCTATGTTCCATTTGAGTTCTGCAGTTTGCAATGAGGGCTCCACAGATTATTTGTGGGGTCCTGGTTTGTAGTTATGCTGTTACTAAATGTAGGATCTAACCTTCATGATACCAACTACCTTAAGAAGGTGCTATTCAGCACACTCTGGCCACAAGTATTCATTCCTAAAACTGTATTTTCTGATGAAGAGATTATTTTTTCCAAGCATTTCAGAACTGGAATTTTTGTAATCACAGAGATACATCATAGAACTTCTCGAATGGAAGATACAGCACCATCCGAAACTGAGACTAGCAGAAAAGGGCATCCGTTACAGGTAAGACACTCCATTTCTTATTTGCTCTTGATAAAAAGAACATACATTTCTGCGGTTAAAAAAAAGTAAGCGAACTGCCAAAAATGAAAATAAATAAATAAAGAACATTAAGACAATGTTCAGCAGTTTAGTCATGACAATCACAATTTTTTTGTTTACATACCCTGCTACTGTGAGGCACTGAAGTTCAGCAGCAATTCGCAGAGGGTGGCTGGTTGGAATCAAGTGTTTCAGAGCCATTTTTTCCTCGTATCCTGTTTGTAGTTGGGCTGTGGCCAAGTAAACAGAACTGAAAGTACCTGTAAAGAAGGGAGAAAAACACTGTCTTCAGCATTTTTAATTACGTCAATTCAGATTTTTACAGAAGTGATCTAACTGTTCACAATCCTGCAGTATACTTGATACTACATCAAAAGCAGATTCTAGAAGAGAAAAATGCAGTTCCTTTTTTCTATTACTGAATTCGGTGATCTTGTATACAAGTTTTTTATGTCAGTAAAAATGCAAAAGTAACACTGTCTAACTTGCCTGGGACACAGAGCTCTTTGAATGTAAATTTCCTATCTTTGATTTGCTTTCTTGTTTAGGTAGCTTACTTTCATCTGACATCTAACTCTTCTCTCCCTACAATGTAAGTGGGCTATATAATGCTAATCTGGAAAGCACTGCCTTTACTATTCAAAGCACTTCTGAAATTGCTAAATTTTTCTTAATTCTGTTACCTTATCTATAAAGTAAGACTTCTCACATGATGTGTAACTTTGCTATTTGTTTGCCCAGAGCATTACCGTATAAACAGAACATGACACTCATTTGAGAAAGGGAGTATTCAGACTGTACATAAACCTACCCACCCATTTAATTTTAAGGATATCCTAATATACCTCTTAGGAGGTTAATTTATCCTAATGATCTGAGATATCTGAACATACAAGTTGAAGCATTGTTCCGTATCAATAAACAATACAAATAACTTTTGATTACATTTTAAGTATTGTGTTTGCATCATGCTAGTTCAACAGCCTGTAAGTGCATACATACATCAAAATGCCAGCAAAAACTCTAAATACTTCTTGCAGTCACAAAAAAAAAAAAAAAAAAAAAATCTAGAGTCCCATACATTCAGTAAAATTGATTATAGCAACAAGGGTTACCAAGTTGACCTAAGACATTATTTTGGTGGTGAGAACTGCTAAAAAGAAAGTGACTCCAGAGTGGAATCCTAAGTTGAAGCTTGTTTTCTCATAATGTTGCAGAACTGGAAGTGGTATTTTTTAAAAGCATTGTTTGCTCCCAAGAGCAAAATCAAAATACTATTCATAACCAGAGATTTTGTTTAATTATACGATCTTTTTTATGACAGGCAGAACTTTCTTTTTTTGTTGTTTTGTTTTTGAAATTTTGTATCACTGGTGAAAGGAGCTGGGTTTTTTTGGAGGTGTTTTTTGAGACAAAATCTTTTACCCATCACAGGTATTCCATCACAAAACAGCCACAAAGAAATCCAGCTTCTCGTCAATATCTTTGTTTAAAAGTGTGGAGTGTCACAAAGCATTTCAGAGATCAAATAGGTAAAGTTCCAAAAAGTGCTGAAATCCCACACTCAGAAGTACCTAAGAATCTATTTATAGTCATGCCTAATATTTATTGAAGGTACCTGCAATACTATCTGTTGAAGGCAAGGTGTACCCAAATGTTCTAAAATTTGATACTGTATGTCTATAGCTGCTTAAATAAAGCAGCTTTTTATATCTTTCAGTCTCCTCCTCCGGTTCTGCCCACAGGGTTTCAGTGGAAACAAAGCCAACTTAAGGAACAGCAGTTAAATATGTCAAAACACAGCTACATATAAATAGATTTCTCAATGGAGTGTTAAGACTTATTTACTCGAATTTACCTCAGAAATTTTTAGTTGTTGAAACTGGAATGCTGGCTTTTTGAAAGACTTTAATATACCAGATTTTCAAGAAAATATCTTGAAAATGTCCCTAATTAACACACCTCTAGGCTCATTCCTACAGAGACAAAGTAGTAAATCAAAAAGGCATTTGGCTTAAATTGCATATATTGGGATCTTAGATTTATACCTTTTAAGTTAGAAATACCAAAAGAAATCTAAGTCTAAGCAAGCTAAAATAAAACATTTACCTTCTCCAATTTTTTCCTTAATTTTGAACACATTTACAAGCTGTGGCACTGCTTCATAAAGTTTTTCAATATCTTTTTTTATTCCTGC